TCCAGAGACCATATTGGCGAAAGTATAGTGGACTTTCGCCAATTGGCGAAGCTCCACCGAATGTATTGGTGAAAGTACAGTGGACTTTCGCCATTGGCGAAAGTCCTATTGGCGAAAGTCTTATTGGCGAAATTCCGGAACCCCATTGATATAAAGATCTTGCTGTTCGTTCTCATTCAAAAACAAATGAATTTTGAAATACTTTATCCGTATAATTAATCGTATTAAAAATGGAATATAAAGAGACGACCTTTGCTACACAAGGAAATTCACATGTATCGATGAGTTCATGTAGAAATGTTACCACGGTGTTCGTATTTCTTGTCGACATTGAAAAATAATCCGTCCATGTCCATTTTTCTCATTCTCTTTGTAATATCTCTATTTGTCTAAGGTTTTAAACAAAGGAAAATACATGTAGTTCTAACACATTTCACTGTGATATGGCTATGAATATAAAGAATGTGTTAAAACTAAAATGTTGTTTTTTTCTTCTTCTTTTTTTATTATTATCTTGTTTTATATTTGATGATACATGTAAACAAGAAGAAAACAAAAACATATGCAAACATCCGATGAAGTTGTTTGTCCATATCTTGTTTGCTTATTTTTTCTTGGCATCTTTGACAGCAGCTTTCTTTGTACCACGTACTTTCTTCATACGATTTTTACGTTCTTTACGTTGTTTTCTTGCTGTTTTCTTCGGATCAGCAAGACCTTGTCGTACAAGATGATGACGTGGTTCGAATTTTTTAGCGAAATCGAGTGTATCATAGATGAGTGCAAAACCGGTCGATTTACCACCACCGAAATTTGTATTAAAACCGTAACAAAATACCAAATCAGATGTTGTTTTGTAAAGTTGTGCTACTTTTTCACGGATATCCTTTTTGGAAAGTGATGCACGATCTGGATGAATTACGTCAACAACCATTTGACGACGACATAAAAGTCGATTGGATTTGAATTTACGTGTGCGAATTGTACATGCCGAATCAGACATTGTTTACGTTGGTACAAGCACTGATCTAAAAGAATAAATAAAGGATTTCAATAAATGCTGAGAATGAAGAACTGCTTCTGGGATATTTTTAGGAGAAATTTTCATCGCTAGTTTTAATCGAATACAATGTATGATGTTTTCAAGAAAAAAATCGATCAGTTTCGACAAAAAAAAATAAAATAAAACGACTGGTTTTAGTGGACCATCAAAAACAAATTTCGTTACTAAATAACCAAGTGAATACAATTTTATCAATAAAAATGAATTGACCAATCCCATAACAGCGTCTATTAGTTCCTCCAAATGATGATTGGTCTATCCAGATTTTGTTCGATATCCATTTATTTGTTTGTTTGTTTCGATTTTTAATGCAATCGGATTAATCGAAAAATATTGTTTTTCGGCCACCTTCGATGAGTGAAACAGTAGCTGCGATGAGTGAAACAACACCTTTGCTGGTTATTGAGGGTGTAGAACATGTTGAAAATGAAATTCCAGCCTTAAGACTCAAATACAAAAATTCAAATGCTCATGGGATTCAAACATTAAAATGTCTGGATGCCATGCGAAAAGAACGACAATTATGCGATGTCATACTCATGGTTGAAGGTCATGAATTATTTGCACATCGAGCATTATTGTCATGCCATTCAAATTATTTTCTTGAACTTTTTCTTCATGATGAAAATGAAACAGTAACAAAAAAGCAAATGTATTATCAAATTGATGGTCTTCAATATTTTGCTTTGAAATTAATTATTCAATTTATATACCGTGGAAGGTAGATAAGAGTCACAAGATACTAAAGAGAAACAATTTAAACTCGTTTGTTTAGTTTTCTTTTAACATTGGAAATGGTACCAAAAATATATTTGGCTGCATTTCAATTACGCATTGAAACAATATTTAAAGCATGCTCAAATTATCTCTGTGAACAACTCACGGAACACAATTGTTTGAGTATGTTATGATTTCTGAGAATATTCTCTCATCGAAATCGATATTTTAAAGGTGACTGCAAAAATAGTTTTGAATCTCATTTAAAAAAAACGTTTTTCTTCATAGAATAGAGGGGTTTCTAGCATTTCTTTTTCTTTTTATTGCATTAAACATTATATTTGCAGTAGTGTTTTGTTCAGCATGTGAATATTGGCTTTTCAAATATTGACTGAACTCTTCTTGCTATGATTGTTGTATTGCACTGGTGCTCCTAGAAATAGATGTTTGCTGTACGAACGCTTTAAACCGCTACACTGAAGACAAAAAACGTTGATGCCGCTCAGATCTTCATGTTGGAGAGCAAATATTAGATAGCCCGTAATTTTTTTTATTTAAAATGTACCTTATCATTATGGGTGCTGCTTCCCGATATAGAGCTAGCCTGACAGAGAATTTTCTTATTTATTTGCTTCGTTGAAACTAAGAGGCATAGCAAGTAAGTCACGACCAGTTACAGCAAAAGGTTCCTCAATCGATCTCACCGATTTGACTCATATTTTTACAGTAGGTAGCCCTAACACAGTTACGACGAAACTGAAGATTTCAGCTCGAACAGATGATCCATTCATTCTGCAGATATATGCACTCGAAATAAGACGGGGTCAGATTTTTGCGCTGCGACAATTTTCAGTAAATTTTCATTTTCTCAAGAATGAATGATAAGAGCTGCAACTGAAATTTTTTCACCAACATTAGTATAGCCAATGGGCTATCGTTTGATAGTATTGGCAGTATTTTATGTTTGAAAAACATTTCTCCATGCGATCGATCGGGCTCAGAAAATAGGGCCCCAGTGTGTAGAGCCAATTGGTCGAACCAGCGAGATGGTAGAATGCCAATATAGTTTAATATGAAAGAGCACACCAAAGTGCATCGAATGATATGTTCAAAACTTTGTTATTTTGATTTTCAGTAGCGAAATGATTTTTACCAAGATTATTATATTTTCGAGAAAAATTCACTTGAAAAGTGAAAAAATTATGCCCGTTTTCTTTATATATTTAAATGTATTCTGATAGCGCGCGAAATTCTCTACAATTCTATTCAAAAACATCTTGAATAACACATATCGGATAAGAAAAACATCAAGTACAGTAAAGACACCCTCAATGTACGTTTTCTCCAAACGATTTGAACTAAATTAGTACGGAAATAGAAAAGTAACTACGCATTCTGGTAGTACATGAAATTCTGCAACTTTTGACGTGTCCCTCAAAACTCATCAAAAGACGAAAGAGTATTTAGTACAGAGCATAATAGACACACTCATAAAAAATCACCTACAAAAGTCTTCGTATCTAGGCGTTTTTATCGTTAGAGCTTACTTTGATAGAAAAACGAATAGTACATTTAGAATCAGTACGAAAACTTCATATCTTTTGAAGAAAATTTTTTCTACGAAAAGTATCAAGTTAGATGCAGTTTTTCATTCTGATTCTAAATGTGCTATTTGTTTCTCTACTAAAGTAAGCTATAATAATATAATCGTCTGAATACCAAGACTTGCTTAGATGATTTTCACTGAGCGCGACTATTATACTCTGTACTAAATACTCGTCTGCATCTTGACGACTTTTTAGTGGCACATCAAAAGATGCAGAATTTCAAGCGCTACCAGAATGCATAGCTGCTTTTGTATTTACCTAACTAAAAAGTAAAAAAGAAAAAGAGAACAAAATTTGATTTTAGAAAAATGTAAGGACTAAGGTGACTTTATTGTGCTTTATTTTTTTCTTATCCGATATGTGTTATTCAAGATGTTTTTGAATAGAATTGTAGAGAATTTCGCGCGCTATCAGAATGCATTTAAATATATAAAGAAAACGGGCATAATTTTTTCACTTTTCAAGTGAATTTTTCTCGAAAATATAATAATCTTGGTAAAAATCATTTCGCTACTGAAAATCAAAATANATGGATCATCTGTTCGAGCTGTAATCTTCAGTTTCGTCGTAACTGTGTTAGGGCTACCTACTGTAAAAATATGAGTCAAATCGGTGAGATCGATTGACGAACCTTTTGCTGTAACTGGTCGTGACTTACTTGCAATGCCTTCTAAGGAACAAAATTCGAATGTCATTAGGGAACAGAAAAACGAATGGATAGATTTTTAAAATAGATTTCGACAGAAACTAGATGGATCGTTGCATTTTTACCGTTTTGCAGCAGATGGGTGCCAATATTTAATCGTGTTTTTCTAAGCTTTTCTAAAACTTAAGTTCCGCGACGATGATTTCTTTTAAAATGGCAAAAAGTAACTGCTTTTTTGTTGACAGCTAATGCTGGAAAGATCATCTGAGAGGCTTGAGGAAAAACCCTGGATTTAATAAACAATAATTTATATAGTTTCTTAAATGTGTGATTGATGGCGTTGGCACATGCCTGATGATTGAAAGTTAACCGTATTTCTCTCACAGGGTATGTTAGTTTACTACGAACGATTTTATGCGTATTCATCTCTTCTTTCTACAGGTGAAAACTATACATTTGGATATCTCAACATAGTCAGTGTATTGTTGGACCGGTGGTTTGGGTCGAGCAGTCGTTAGTGACTTGCTCAGAATGATTTCATGGCTAGTTGTACCGACGTTTGAACGCGTACTGTATTTTATTGAACAGCTATATGTGCTAAGCCATGATGACCTGATATTTGACCAATGATTACTCTGTTTTCGTAAACTATTATTCTTTACTATTTGCACTTCTAATCTCATCTTTTTGTGGGATGTGCTTGAAAATTTTCTGCTCGTGAAGTTCATTTTTGATGTAGAATCCTTGAAGATTTTCTTAATGATAGTTTTCGAGAACGATACGTATCATTGATTAAGAAGAACGAATTAATTGAATTAAACTATGAAATAAAGATTTAAGATAGTTCACGCCTGTGTTACTCAACATACGGAATAATGCATGAGAAAAGTCATTAAGTTCATTTTCCCGAAGTACCTAATTGAGTATGCACGTCTTGTTTGACATTAAAAATATGAGTTGAACACTTGAATATATGCAATAAATATTCAGAAATCCTTCATATTGAATCCTTGCTTGTTATTTCGATAAATTATGAACATTAATTTTATTCCTATTTTTCCATGTTTTCAGGTACACGTCTATTGGCTATGGAAGATGATCTTCGCGCAGCAGCCAATGATTATATAAAAGGTCATTTTAATGCTGTTTTGGAAACACGTGAATGCCATACATTGCCCACCATCAAGGTAGAATTAATCGGTAAGAACAAGGGAAAACGTTTTTCTTTCATTTAATTATCTATCGCAAAAAAAATAGATTCAAAAATCCTTAAACCGAAGATAATGTGTAATCTCGTTATAAATTGGATTGCTCAACAACTTTCTAAGGATAATAGTGATCTTCAAGAACTTTGTGAATGTGTACGACAGTGAAAAATAATCTTTATTCGATTAAACGAAAAAGAAATATTCTTTACTTTAGATGCACTTGCTCTATCTTAACGGGGAAACACTTCATGATTGTGCCAAGATGGATGACAAAAATATTCATTTTTCGGATATAATCAAAGTATGATATTAATTTAATCTTTGATTTTATTTCATTTTAAATAATAATTATTGTTTACGTAGGATTACCAAAGCTATAAATTAACAAAACGAAATCTATCATCATCGAGTACTCAAATTGAAACATTTTCTTTTGAAACACCGAGCTTGCAAATCAACAATACTAATCTATCATCCAATGCAATTCTTAATTTATTTACACCGGAAACAAAACTGATTCATATGAGTCAATCAAATGGTTAGTTCTCATAAAGAAATATTTTCTTTCATTTACATTCTTGTACAGATCATAGTTTTATTGCGATTGCAATAATCAAAGGAAAAATGTTAATTCTTTCTCTACACATGTCATTGTCACCGTCAAGTCCAACAACACCGGAACTGAATGTTGGTGTACCATTAGAGAAAACTTATGATGAAAATCATTCCAATGGAAATAGCCCGATACTAACTATAGATAACGACATTGAATTTGGCTCTTTAGTAACAGCACGATGTTGTTTTGGAACTGCATCTATCGGTGATAAGATTTATGTTGTTGGTATGTGTTTGATATTGTCTCATATGTAACAAACATTATTGACTTCATTTATAGGCGGATATAATCGTTCCGAGTGTCTTAAAACAATTGAACAATTTGATTTTAATCAAAATAAATGGAAATTATTATCATATCCGATGGCCAATCGACGAGGCCGTGTATCATCTACTATTGTTAATGATAAAATTTATGTATGCGGTGGTTGTGATGGACAAAAAGAATTAAATACTGCTGAATGTTTAGATTTAAAATCTATGAATAAATGGTCAACGATAAGTGAACTTTCTACACCGGTGGCACACAGTGGTAAGTCAACGGGTTTATCTTATTGGTTGATTAGAGAAAATAACGTAAAAAAAAAATTTTTTTTTAATTTAGCGATGTGCAGTGATGATAATTATGTGTACTTAATCGGTGGCATGGAAGGTGATAAATGTAAAAGTGATTGTTATCGATATGATCCCCAAGATAATACTTGGTCAAGATTAGCACCAATGAATGTTGAACGAAGCGAAATTGGTATTGTTTATTTTAATGATAAAATCTATGTATTTGGTGGTTCAACATTAAGTCGATGTTTGTCGTCGTGTGAAATTTTAACATTATCAACCAATGAATGGAATATGGGGCCGTCGATGAAAGAGAGTCGCCGCGGTTGTGGCGCAGTATTATATCATGACAAAATATTTGTTATTGGTGGCTCGAATGGTATTACATCATTGACATCGATTGAAATATTTGATCCAATTACGAATGAATGGCTAATTAATTTGAATGGAACTCAAAATGGATTAAATACTCCGCGTGTTGGCCTTGGCGTCACTGTTTGTTGCGATAAAATTTATGTTATTGGTGGTTTCGATGGTCGAACTTTTCTCAAATGTATCGAGGTTTATGATGAAAATGCTCAACAATGGCGATTAAGCTATAATAATAATAATAATAATACTATCAATCAATCAGATAAGAATAATTAAAAGAAAACGAAGATAGACATGGTCCGAATGGTGTTTCTATTGACTACTACTGTTCAAAAACAGTAACTGCGTTTCTTTTCTGTTTTCCATCTATATCTGGATTTAATTTATATTTATGAAAAAAAAATCGTTTTGCTCATTATTTATTTGCATGTGGTATACGGACCATTTTTTGCCATTATCATGCTCATTTACCTTTTTTTTCTAATATCCGTGAACCCTATTATGTGCGTCTTTTCTCTCCGTATCATTATTTCAACGAGAAAATAAAAACAAATGATACCACGCAGTAGTTTGCAGAGAAAATTTTCTATTTCTATCACAATGTTACAACGAAATTTGAATCACTCACTATTCATATATGCATAGGTATGAGACGAATTATCTTTCTTCCAATAAGCTATGTTGCTATAACGAGACAATAGATCAATTGATCAACAAGAATGACAACAAATAATGTAAACATCATATTTTAGTACCATTTTCTATAGTTTCATTGGCAGAAATCTTTCTAAATTCGATAGAGATAAAAATAAAAAAACTATATTTTAACGCTTGTTCTAGTATACAAATTTTTCTTTATTTTGTTTCGAAAGTTCTTAGAGCGCAATATCCATTACTAAGTGGGATTAAACATATGAAACTTTTGTTTTCCTACAGTTGCAGTTATATATGTTGTGGTTGTGGTTCTTTTGCATCATTCTTGAAATGTTTTGTTATTTATTTCTATAAATTTTTTCCATGAATCATGTCAACACTTGTAAATAGGCATAAATTGACGCATGAACTGACTGAATATCTACACCATACATCTCTGTACCTGATACTAAGCATCGATTGCTGTGAATCGAAATAGTTATGTTCACTTTCTATTATCCTAACCAGTCATCTATAATCTTGCTATCCGATGGAAATTAGTTTATAGACGGATTCTTGCAAACATCCACTTTGTAGGTCCTATTCTTACAATCTAGGGAAATCGCCAACATGACATTTTCTTCCAGGCATACGATTGAAAAATTGACGCTCACGATTCATCGAATCTCTTTCAATTGCACGTTCAATACATCAGTCTACTTTTAATAGTCACTTTTATAATTCGAAGAAAGTGGAAAATGTATATTTTGCTGTCAATATAAATTAAAGAACAGACAAAAAACACTGATCTTATTCTTTGATAAAGTTGATTGTCGACAAAAATTTTCTAATAATTGATTTTTATAACAAGAAAGTATTTCATTACACACTGAAATTCTTGAAAATTCACCGCTGAGCAGATGCTCGATTTTTTCGATGAAAAAACTTCAATTAAGAAATTTAATGAAATATTCACAATAATTTACAATATACGAATGATGAGTTTACGTTCTTAAGAAAGAAATTCGAAGTAACCAATAATCATTCATGTATTAAGCAATATATGTATATGAGTGAATTGCAACATTTTGGTACAATTGATGCGAACAGATGAAAATGACCCTATACAATTTTTGACTAGTACATTTTATTACACTCTATGCCAGTAGTACACAAAAAAACAATTTCCCAACACTTCATCGATTATTAAGGGAGACATGCCCGTATAAATTTTGGGATTTTCTCTACTTCTGGGTGATTCCATGCGATGACAAACACACTTTGAAAATTCCAAAATTTATACCTAGCACGCATCAGTACATGATCCTAGATAGAGTGGTCGATGTAGTTGTCAAGAAAATCGAAAAAAAAACATTTCCTTTGTTTTTTCTTGAGAGCTTTGTTGACAATTCTATCTACGAACATGTCGTGATTTTTTCTAAATACAAATTATTGAATAAAAATAGAAGCTCGAGAGTGAATTGCAACTTTTTGGTACAATAGACACAAAAGATGAAAATGAATCTAAACAACTTTTGAGTAGTGGACTTTATTAGACTCTATGTATGCGATATACAGCAAAAATTGCCCAACACTTTATCGATTATTAAGGGAGATATGTCCCGTATAAATTTTGGGATTTTTCCTTCTTGTATTATTTTCTACTGACTAAAGTCGTATATCGCTTTGTATGTATTTTAGTAGCAATACGATTCGAAAGCAGCTAGAGAATTATTTTCTATAGCAATAAAATATCGAATCCTGCGAAAAAAATACTCGTTTTGATGTACTTTTAGTTGAAATAGCATATAAGAAAGGTGAATCTACATTTTGTCGTATAATGTAAGTTTCTCGCGAACGGGAACACAGACAGCTGAATTTTTTTATCATTTGTACAACTCTGAGAAATAAAGTTATGGTAAAAATTTGAGTAGAAACGGATGCATTGTTCAAAAGTTATAACCGACGAAATTTTAAAAAGGTGAGTCTACAAAGGGAGTAAAATTTGAATTTTTCGGAGAAGATCATTTTTTTTCTTCATCAAGAGGAAAACTGTCCACAAGAAGTTGTTCTATCGATTTGTTTATGGCTCAATCGCCTTTCTTTTAAACATCTTCCCGCTTCTTTAAATCATAGTCACAGGAAGAAAATTGACACGGACAAGGTGAGTCTACACAAAAATGCATAAGTCTGTAATTTTAAATTAAAGCGAATGGACGCGAAACGAACGAGTAAAATAAAACAAAAGATATATCATTTGAAAGATCGGCCGTTTCAAGCTCTACAAAATGGCCTAATCATTGTATTTTTCCCTCTTTTTTCATGTTAAGAAAATATCGTTTCTGTCACATATCTCCATGTATAATACAATTTTTTCACAGTGCGAGATCTATAAGTCCTTAAGATTATTAGATGGAGACTTGCAATTTGGTGTGGCAGTGGGGCACATAGAGCGCAATAACTTCAAAGGACAATATTAAAAATGGCGCAGTAGAACAAAAGTTATAAAGTAAATACAGCTAAAATGCTAATTGTACCAAAAAGTTGCAATTCACTCATGTATATATGTCGAAGTATGAAAGTATTTATTCCGCGTTGTATTGGTAATATCATATTTCCTAGATTAAAAGAATATGGTTGTCTTGTTTTCTCTTGATAATCTCAATAGGAACTTATTGAATTTCTTTTATAATAGCCTAAAGAAATTCAGCTTGCAATAGATAACCAGTGTAGATAAATTCAATGTTTGTGCTTCAAAAATGATTAGCTTATTTTCTTTTTCATTCTCTGGTTTTTCTTTGTCTATATATATATATATGTCTTTAAGTTCACATGTCTCATCAATGAGAATGATCGAGAAAAGCTAACTGCCTTTGAATCAATGAGCCGCAATGACAACGATCGGCAGCGATCGATAAGTAGTGTTTGCGAAATTGTGGAAACGGAAGAGATAGATAGACAGTGATAGAATGAACGTAATTTATTTGATTATGGGGAAGGATTGTTGAACATCTCTCTTTATTTTCCCCTTTTTTCTTCTTTTCTTAGCCGTTGTCATCCAGAGAGAAAAAAGAAACTAAAAACTAGCTAGCTATTAACATATAAACCTGCTGAAAAGCAAGAGAGAACAACGATTGATTGATTTTGTCAGAGCAAACACGAGAGAGAGAGAGAGAGAGAATGAGATAGAGATAGAAAATGTGTTCGTCATCTTTCGACGAACTAAGAATAGTAGTGCTAACAACAACAATAACAAAGACGGCAAACGATAACAACGCAATCATCATTCATACTAACACCATAGCGCTTGTTTGTCACTGATTAATATTAAAGAATTTCGACTCTATAAAGTCTTGCATAATTTGCAAGAGTATTTTCAATAATCTGCATATGTGTGTATTCAATACGTTGGTTTTGTCTATTAGATATTGATGTCACTAGTCATCATCTGAATCCGTCCGATGCCGTCGTTTATCTTTCGATTATGTTCTGCCATCATCAACGTCTGCGCTTGATTCTCATGATTCAACTATTGTATATATTCATCGTTCGTCGGTATGTTATATTTTAATTTTTTTATTGACTTCGGAAAGAAAAAAAAAGAAAGCTGCTATAAGAACTAAGTAGAAAGTGTCAAGGTTAGTGATACAACAGTTGTTAGTCTCAAGATACTTCTTTTCTCCATAATCAATTACATCACAAAAAAAACGAGGACAAAAGTGTATCGAAGTGAACTGCAATCGATTATGTACAATGTGTTGTTTCTAGTTGTCGCTCGGCACCGTATACAAGATGTTATGCTAAATTAGGAAAAAAATCGAGAAGTATTTGCAGTGGACTGCCCCTCGATTCTGTTCTTTTGCTTCTCAGTCCCACTAGGTGATCTCTCACTTGGGTCCTTTCTCAATTCGGTCCGTTTTAATTGATTCTCATTTCGGTTCCTCTCCTGTTTAGTTATATGTCATAGAATTAAAAAATGAATTAGAAATATTCAGTTATCCTCATGATTATTCATTGAAAATAATTCATTCGTGATTGGCCATTGGTAAAGAAAATCGTAGCATAATCCAGATTTCGAATTAGCATTTCAGTATATTCAAAACTAAACTAGTAAAGAAATAAATGAAAAGAACTTCATTTTTTTGTTGTGCTCATTACATGCATATGTGCTATAATAATGGATCTTTTTGTTCTTATGATTCTTGCTTCCGCAAGTTTTTTTTTTGTCTGTTAAATAAAAATATAAATCACTATAATCGATTATATTAGAATCGAAATGAGAATCAATTAAAACAGGCCAAATTAAGAAAGGACCCAAGTGAGTGGGACCGAAAAGCGAAAGGATCGAGTCGGTGGTAAACCAACCATTTGCAATAGAATACAAAAATATTGAGTAAATTGAAGACATTGCATATGTGCATGCATGATTGAATTGCCCTTGGATTTGCTCGCTTCTTTTGTTCGTTTCCAAGAGAAAAGAACGCAAGACCAATCTAGTAGTTTATCTAATAATTTCTAATTAAAAAACAAAATTGGAAATACCTGTTTATGTCAAGGATTGTAATTACATAAGTAAAAGTGTTATTTATGAAATTCTAGAAGCTCACAACGGATGAGCGCAAGCCGTTTGAAGAATGCATCGATAGCAATTGAAGATTTGCTCAAAGAATATGATATTCGACTGCGCCCATCGTTCGGCAGTAATATTTAATTTTAAATTATATGTTATATTTCTTTTCTTTCTTCTTTATACAAAAATATTTTCCTATAGATGAACCATTATTATTAGATATTGAAATTCGTTTAGCAAGTTTCGATAGCATATCGGAAGTTAATATGGACTATACGTTGACACTTTATTTAAACCAATATTGGCGTGATGATCGTCTTGTATTCGGTAATAGAAGTGAAGAAATAACCTTAACTGGTGAAATCATTGATAAATTTTGGTTGCCTGATACATTTTTTCCAAATGATAAAAGTGCATATTTACATGATGTAACAGAAAAAAATAAAATGATACGATTAAATGGTAACGGAGAAATTCTCTATGGTATGAGATTTACAAGTACATTAGCATGTATGATGGATTTACGACGATATCCACTTGATAGACAAAATTGTACAGTTGAAGTTGAATCCTATGGTTATACACAAGCGGATGTTATAATGCGTTGGAAAAATGGACGTGAATCCATATTAGATCTTGATAAAGTTCAATTGCCGCAATTTACTGTTACTGGCTATGATACAGTTTCATATGGACTTTATTTAGCAACAGGTAGAGATAAAACGAAAGAAACTAAATAAGAGTTTAGCATTTGTTTTTCTCTCTCAAAAAAAGGTGTTTATCAACGTCTGTCGTTAAGTTTTATACTTCAACGAAACATTGGTTATTTCTTATTTCAAACTTATCTGCCTTCTATGCTCATTGTCACGTTATCTTGGGTCAGCTTTTGGATAAACCATGAAGCAACAAGTGCACGTGTAGCATTAGGTAAAAACAGCTAATGTTTAAAAGAAAATCGTTCTATGAATCTACGTATTAGGTATTACAACGGTTTTAACTATGACAACGATATCGACGGGTGTTCGATCATCACTGCCACGTATATCCTATGTCAAAGCAATTGATATCTATTTAGTGATGTGCTTTGTATTTGTATTTGCTGCTTTACTTGAATATGCAGCGGTTAATTATCTCTATTGGGGTACAAGAGCAAAACGACGAAAACGGAAAAAACAAGAAAATAACACAAAACGAGACACTCAAGTAACTATCCGAAATTGTTTGTGCGAAGAAAAATACTTTTTTTGTTTTTCTATTTAGGCTGATTACGAACTAGTGGAGGAAGGTGCGGGTGCTGGTGGCGGCGGTGGCAGTGAAAGTCGCGCATCACCTATACTTGGTTTACGTTCTCATACTAATTTTAATTGTCGAGCAACAACAACATCGATTGATGAAAATTGTTTAACTCGACGAACTAATCTTGTTATTGATTCTCAAACGCCACGTATGCGTCCTATATTGAGAGGAAATCCAGGGCTATATTCATCACCATTAAATCGAAATCCACGGCAAAAACGAGTGAATCGTCTGTTAAATCATTTACGAACTCGTGTAATAAACATACGTCAACATATACCACATGTACAGGATGTCAACGATATTGACAAGTGGTCACGATTATGTTTTCCGATTCTTTTTATACTCTTCAATGCAGTCTATTGGCCGTATTACATGGCTCGGCCGGAAACATCTTCATAAGAATATCGTATGGCTTTGATCATCAATGAATTTTTCGAAAGACAAATCGAAATTACGTTTACTTTATTTCTTTTCAGAATAGTGTTAAAATAAGAAAAAAATATACAATAAGATTTAATTGTCTTGTTGATACAAATAAAAAGAAAATCTATCCAGAAAAAAAACCAAAATTTCCTTTCTTATATTAGATCGACGAAAGGAAAGATTACATACAGAAGGCCACCAAAACGTTAGCAAACACGCTTATCGACCATATGAACATAACTTGTAAAAATTCGAAAGGCAAACTATGAGAATGGCTGATAATAAAGAAGAATCAGATGAACTTTGTTTCTAGACTCGTCGGAACGAACAATAGATAGGTTATCAATGTATTTTCAACGATACACATTACACTGCTAGCATTTGATGTTTGAGAAGTTAACTTGCTATTTTTTATTTTATTTATATGTTATTCTATGTTTCTTCTATTGACGAAAACAAGCAACTTGTTTTTCTCTAATCATTGTTGAATAAGTAATCCAATCGTCTTATCAAATTAACTTTATAGTGATGTTTATATGACTTATAAGTATACTATATAATCGAAAATTTTTTGTCTCACAATGACTGAACCCCATTCCGAAAGTAGCTACTCAAGAAGTCTATGAGGAAAAAAATCAAGAATTACATTGTGGCAAACCGTTTAATTCAGTTATTTCATAGAAGAAGAATACGAAGACATTCACTCCAATATACTGATCGGTACTATTATCAATATACTCTCTTAGAACTATAATTTATTATGAAAAATAGAGAATATGCATTGATAACAGTTCTAAGTTAAAATAACTAAATCGAAGAAGAAGAAGAAGAAGAAGAAGAAGAAGATTAGTAATACTAGTTTTAGTAGCAAAGACCACAAAAGAATGCATTATCGGTATAAGATATTTAGTGTATTTACTGTTGTTTTTCTGATTGATGTTTGAATTGTTTGTTTCTGGAAACATTATATCCATCAACAGAAGCTTGATAGTTTATTTAAAAGCTTTTATCATCACTGTAAAATACGATAATTATCAGAAGATATTTAGTTTTTAATTTTAAAATGAGAAAATGCAGTTTGATTTATAATTTTCAAGCATCTATCTATATGAATTCATCTAGATTAGCGTGATGAGATAACAAGACTTACATATGATCTTGAGAGAATCCATATGATATAATGTCTCAGTCTCAAATGTTTCACGCTTACATGTTGACATGTCATTTGTTATTTAATGTTATCATGTCCAAATGCCACTTACATACCCACGAAATGGGTGATGAGAGAAAATAGGAATACTTCATCTTGTTTCTATCCGATTATCGCTATTTCCGATCGCTGATAATGATGATGAGAACCACACTCATATTGGCACAAGACACAAGTAAAAGAAAAGAATATTCGTGCGCGAGTTTATACACTAAAGAGTCATTATCATTCCAGACGCGTACATAACGATTGATCAATCTGCTTTTTCTCTATTTGTTGTTTCTCCTATGCATTGCATTTAAGAGAATATTAAAGAAAAAAAGCGTAAGATTACTCGTAGAAAGTCTGTTTTGTTTTCACGAGAGAACCAGACCAATAAAAAGAACGGACATAACTTGATGTCGTTCTGCTTTTTTAATGACATCCATATAGATCGAGCAAACCATCAGCAACGGCAACTATATTAATATTATAACGAAAATCAAATATAACGTTGATTCGGTAAATCAAATATATACTCTAGTAGAATTCTTCTCTCTAATTTTTCTTTCTTGATCAATATTTCCCCTCGAGTTATGATATGATTTACTTTTCTCTTGTTTGTTACCATATAATAATATTTAATCGTCTGTACTCTACATAGAGAAGAAGAAGAAGAAGAATAACACCACATGATACATCGTATAAACATGACACAAATAGTATGCCCATCTTCGCTGTTGCCTATTGTGTTTTCTTTCTTTCTTTCCCTTACTAGTCGTTTTTCTCTGACGACTTTTTTTTTCTTCTTTTATATAGAACATCATGATAATCATAATCAAACTACAAAGAACGAGCAAGTAACTACTGTTTCATTCATCGAAATCTTTGAACGGACACATCAGCATTGTTATTCAATATTAATCAGCACTCTATGATAGCGCGAGACTAACTCGATAGCAGTAGCAACGAAATCAGTGGTGTGTATGAATAGAATTGAATTTGAATATATTGATGGTTACTGGGTATATTGTTTTTATTGCTACATTTATAACGATGTTTTTCTATCACATTAATGGTAAATATTTTACCAAAGGAATTAATTTTAGTTAAATTAAAATTAAACGTCTACTCTATTTTTAGGTGAATCATTTCCATGTTCGAATCGAGAACATTCACCATTATGTTTTTGTCGATCATCTTATCGACGTTCTTCATCTCAAGATTTATTTATTTCTAAAATATCTCTTTCTCAATGTTCTACTTCAAATTCTTCGGCTCATTGCCGTCATGGTCGTCTATCACCCTCTTCAACACATGTCACTCAACTTGTACCAAATCTAGTTAATTATAGCCATTGTTTAGAAAGTACACAGTGTCTTCATGCACTACATAATATACAACGCTGTCAACAATGTCAAATAATGCCTTCATCTTTATCGACAGAAAATACGTCGTATGTCGTCAGTACAGAAAGAAGTAATCTTCCAACAGATTCATGTTTTCATATTTGTGAAAATGATAAATCATGCGGATTTTTATGTTTTGATCGACGTATATCAATAACTGTAAATTGTAGTTTTTGTCGAGGACGCAGACGAAATGTTACATGTCGGTAGGTTTTCAAATGCTATTGTTTTTTCTTCAATAGAAATCAACTCAATAATTTCTATGTACATTTTTCATAGTTGTGTTAAAGTAAAACAGTCTCGATCATCATGTCTACGATCATCAGCCGAAACAACAACTCCACGTTGGATGCAAAAACGTGGGTTTCCAGCTGCCGGAATTCTCGCTCTATTGGTTTTAGTAACTGTCTTATTAATTATTGTTATAAAACTTATTAGTCATCAGTTAGAAAGATTGGCTGTCCACAAAGCTAGACTCAATCGTCGTTCGATAACAACAATAACGACATATCGAAGTCGACAGCCATCACCTTCGACAGCTGCGATTAGTTTTCCAAGTACGCCTCTTATTCCTCCTGCACAATTATGTCGAGATATTGTCACTGCTAATACAATGGTTGAATTATTAAATGATAAATCACGAGAATATGTTGTTGACATTCATCAACGTACTGATTCGGACGAATTAGGTCCTTTTCTATTGAAAAGAGCTTCACAATTAAATTCAAAGTCAAAAGAAATAGCCAATGTCGTTGATCGCAATGAAGAAGAAAATCAAACTTGATTTCTCTTATGCGTTTGTTTTTTCTGTTCTGCTATTTTTGATACTTGATTAACTGTGATGTTTCATGAAGATTGAGATAAACTTTTTACGAGAAAAATACTTGAATCCATTGTAAGTTGATCACATAAGTATGCTTACATCAGATAAAGCAAGAGAAAAAAAAACATAGAGGAATAGATTCTATTTAAATAACAAAAAGAAAGTATTATTTAGAGCAACACTCAATGACATACTCGTCCATTCACTGAAATATGAGCCTATTCTCATGCATCAGAACTAATAAAAACCATTGAGAATATGTTGCATAGAAAAACAATATTTTCCGCCAAGTATAAATACGAAAAATATTGAAACAAAAGGAGAAAGGAAATTGTTGCATTAGAACGAGTTCTGAGCTTTGCTGAATTGATCAACAGGAAATCAATGATATTTAGTTAGTGCTGAAAATGGTTCATCAAGTCGTATTTCCGATGTGAAAAGAATGATATTGCGTTCTAATGGCGAAGTAGATCACAAAAAAAAAGCAATGATCTGCGCTAGAATTTATTTGAATTATTTGTACAATAGGAAATAAAAAGAAGAATAATTGCCAATATCGATTTATCATTTTCTTTTTGCTGTTAAAATTTCATAATATCCATTGAGTAGGATTGTTTAAATAAATATTTAATAGACACTAGAGAGTTTTACAATGAATAACCTTGCGGAGCGAAACTAATAATATATTTGTAGAATAGCTATTCCCTAGTAGCTCTATAAAGAGAAGAAAAATTCATAAATCAATATCTTTGTTTTTCTTTTCTGAATACTATATAATACTACCTATTCAATAGCGGATTTGGATGATTAAGTTGAAGAACGAAGAAAGCATTCCTAATGGGATTTTGTCGAATACCCTATAGAATTACAGCTGGATAAGCTCGTTTCTTTCTGTAGTACTTAAGGATTTGAAAGTGCTTGAGTGCATCGAACAGATTTTGGTTTTGACATAATGCTGTATTTTAATATGAACAACGAAAGATTTCATCAAAACTATAAATATCTTTAAAGATAATTTTCATTATTAATAGAAACACAACAAGACCTTGAGATTTTAGTGATGTTAAAAGCGAGACATATGTTATTTATGTTGACAATTAAATAAGGCAAAACGTTATTTATGATTTATTATTTTCTTGCTTTAAATTTGACTATGCACAAGTTCTACGCAATAACAACGACAAAAAAAAGAACACGTTTTATAAAAATATTAATATATTTATTTGATAATGATAGGGTCTATATGTATTTAAATCTTTCACAAACAAATTTTATCCTTAATGTTTTTTTCTTTCTATTTTCCTATTGGTCGCATTATCGAAATATAAATATACAATCTAACAATAGACAGTAAATGAGAAATACAGGATTAGCAACGGAAGAATATATTTTCATTGGAATGCAATTGTTTGTTTACCATCTCACTTGTCCTTTATATTCTTCTTTCAATGAAATTCGTTTAACTGTTTCATAACCGAATATAATAAACAATGAATAAACACATGAATGAGAAAGTCGAGCTGTTAAGCCTTTTGTAAACACTCGAAATCTTTCTTCTTGCCATAATTCACGCATTATTTGATTTACTGTTCGTCGCTCTTGTTCGACTTGTATACGAGTACGACATACATCAAGTGGATTCGTAACTAATGTCGATGTAAGAGAAGATAATGGACCAGCAACACATTGAATTACAAGTAATGGTAGTGGAAACATATTAGCTGTAAAAGAAAGGCAAAGAAAATAATGATGGAGAGTTCAGATAGAAATATAAACATAGTACACTTAGAAAAGTTGGCTTCAATTTTAAGCATTTGCCTTTGATAAAAATAATATGACGGCCACCAAATGGCACTTGTTAAACTGAATAAAAATGATGATATAAAATATCCACGGTAAAAACCTTTCAAGCTAAACTGGGATGTGTTAGTATCGGATACATTTTCATAAAGTATAGTTCTACATATATGTTTAAATATTAGATAATTACTATTGCGAATTTCATTTGGAACATGTATCCGACGAATCTGTCGTCGTTTCAGTTTTGATAAGTCTACTGCGGTGTTTGATATCGATTTTAGACCATCTTTAGTGTGCGCCTTTTTTTCTGGTGATGTTAATCCAACTAGTTGCATATGCTGAGATATAATATCGATTGGACAAGCAAGTATTTGGGCAATTAATGAAGCTATAGAACCAGCGAGACCAGCGCGCAAATATTCGTTTCTACTTAAAATATTTGCATGGGAACGAGTTGCTTCAAATGTTGTTATATAAATCAAACCAGGCAATAATTGACAATTGTAAACAAGAAAACCTTTGTATAATGAACGGAAGCCTTCGTGACGAACAGTTGTTGTTAATGCGTGCCATGTTCCTTTATAAATGGTTGATTGTATTTGTACTTGTAGACGAGTACGAACAAGTGTAAACGGATAAAGAAGTGAACGAACAGTAAATGTTGATAGAATATTTAATGGTATATATCGACTTTTATCAAGCATCGGCCAATCGATATCATGTGTGATACTTGGTTCATCGCTTTCAGACATGAAATTCTTAAAAACAGATAAATGATGAAAATTTATTCATTTTAAGAATTCGATTTTTAGTAGAAGTTTTTGTCTCCCCATAGAATCTATTGAATCGTTTTATAAACAACCAAACTAATACAAAGAGAAACATCGAAATATAACAATTTATATAGTTATTTTTAATATGGAATATCAAACAAACGAAGGGAAAATTCCTACTAGAAGAAGTTGGCATTTTTACAAATAACAAACAAGAAAAGAAAAACGAAAACGATATTTAATCTACAAGATACAAAAAAATTATTTTGATGACGATATTTGATTTATTGGTGTTGCTCGTTGCTGAAGAATCTTCTGTACTAAACCTTGGCTTGCCATGTATAATAATTGAAAACGTTTAGCCATTATTGTTGTCGGATTTGCTTGAACGTATGTATATAATTTTCTATTAAGATCAATTAGTACATTATATAAATAATCACGTACACTTGGATGTGACAAATCAGGACAAATCAATGCTTCATACAAATAACTAAACAGTGGGGGAAAAGATTAGAAATTTAACAGAAAACGAATATGATATAATTGCCTATATTTTAATTCTTGATGTGTAGTTAAATCCGCTGCAAGTTGTTGAATTAAAGAAAGAATAACTGGAATTTGTAATTGACATGGTTGAATCGAAAACAATTCAGCAGGCCGGATATTTTCACATAGATATATGACAAGATTTAAATCAGATGCTGATAAAACATATTCAAAAGCTTGATTCACTTGGCCGGATTGAACAAATTTCAATGCTGTTTGTTGTTTTATATCAACGGTAGGAATTTTATTCGATGATGCACTACCAGCAATAGCAGTAGGTAATGGAGTTGTTCGTTGACTAACTGTTGGTTGTGGTTTTGGCACAACTACTGGCTGAGGTTTCGGTACAGCAGCTAGTTGTTGCTGTTGTTGTTGTTGTTGTTGTTGCTGCTGCTGTTGTTGTTGTTGTTGCTGCTGTTGTTGTTGTTGCTGCTGCTGCTGCTGCTGCTGCTGTTGTTGTTGTTGTTGCTGCTGCTGTTGTTGTTGTTGTTGTTGTTGTTGTTGTTGCTGCTGTTGTTGTTGTTGTTGGTATTGTCGAAGGTGTTGAATAATTAAAGTGTTGATTTCATTCTTTTGTGCAGCCAATTGTTCACGTAAATTAGTTGCGACTTCATCACGAACAATTGATTGAATGGTTTCACGAATTCTATTTATTTCGAAACAAAACAATCTTAGAAAAATCTCTGTAAAGTATTTATTCTTACATGGGTGCAAGATTTGTTGTCATGTATTGATTAACTTCATTTTTCAGTGTATTTGTTAATTCTTGATTTTTCTTTTCGAATTCTTTTAATAATTGCGTTGATTCTTTACGTATTTCTGTCATCATTTGTTCACGCTGTTGAATTAATGAACGTTGCTGTTGACGACCATATTCAATCATTTCTTGTAAATCTAAAGAGTTTCAATTGGTGAAAGAAAAAAGATTTTTAATTTTCTTGACAACATACATTCTTTTGTACCGCGTTTGAATACATCATTCGTTTGTTGAAACATATTTGTTGCAGCTTTTTCAAACGATGGTACGACTATTTGATTGAAAGTATCACGATAGGATGTAATCATTGTCGCTTGAATTGCATTTGCTACGGCATTACTCAACGAATCGATCATAGTCTAATTTTTAAATAGAAAATAAAAAAGGCCAAAATTTCAATTTAATAAAACCTTAGAACGAAATATTTGTGTTATTGTTTGCTTAATAACTGTATCCGTTGCCAATAATTTTGCAGCTAAATCTTTATGTAAATTATCTTTTAAATCGCGATAAGGTTCAAAAACAGATTTCATTGCTAGAATATAAAATAATAGAACAAATTTTTTTTTCTAGTGGAATGCATTATTCTCTGTAGTACCTGCTTGGACGTGTGCTTGTATTTTTTCAATAAGTATCGCTTCTAATCGATCATAATGAGCGTCAGTTAAGATCAATTCAGGTTCATTTGTTGTTATTATCTCAACTGATGCTGAACTAGGACTTGGCCGACTTGGTCGAGAAACAGCAACTAAAGAGGAAAAACAAAAATAAATGATATTTTTCTTTTGGCAATCGCATTTTACGTTTAGTCTTTCGCTAGATACAATAAACTGACTTTTGCTGTGATTATTAGGAGAAGCTATATTGGATTACATATTTTTTTCTCTTGGCTTCTCGCTAACAGTTTTTTTTTGTCAATGATTTTTATTGCAATACCTGTTTGTTCAAAATTAAACAATCTATCAACTTTGCTTGTCAGCTGTTCAAGACGTTGACAACATCGTTCAAGTTTTTCATCATAATCCGATTGAGATATTGTCAATGGAATGGTTTCACACGAGAGATTTGTTACATGTGAACGATATTGATTTAATTGATGAGTCAACTCACGAATGGCATGCAATGCCTAAAAGATAATAATCCCTTAATAAAGCATCATAAAATCTTTTTATTATGCTTACATCAACATTCAACGGTATTTGAGAATTATTTGGCGAACGACCACTTCGACGTTTTACACGTGAATGTAATAAATCTTCTTCATCGGCTGTCGAATCATCATCTCGGTCACTTTAAAAGAAATTCAACAAGTAATATTATACTATATTTAACTAAGTTTTACCTTGTTTCTCCTGGATCACTAAAATCATCCATATCTTGATGCACTGATGTTTTCAAACCTCTACAAAAAAATTAAATTTATTTAAACGAAAAAAAAACACTCTTTCATCATCTTACTTCAATGGACTTTCACCACCGGAATGACATGATTTTGACCAATGTGAGCTATCCCGGTATTTCGATGGTGACACAAGTGGATCTTGGTTATCATGAATCTATTAGAATAATAATAATACTAATAATAATACAACTTCGTTTTTTTTTCAAAAAACTTTTACCAGTTCATCATCATCATTCGACTTAATTGGCATAAAAACTATATCACCATTCTCATTATCATCTTCATCATTTGGTACTTTAGAAGAGAGAACAAAACGATATAGCAACGAAAAAAAAAATATGACCGCAAAAACACACTCGCTTCAAATTGAAGAGAATAATTTGTTGTATGCGAAAGACTTTCAGCTACTTCTTTATCATCTTGATCAAATGGCGAATGTAAAATATCTAAATATTAATTTTATATTGAAGACACTTATTTAAAAAAAATTCAGTGGTTTCAAAGTCAAGGTTCTTAATACAAGAGAGAAAGATAGGCAAACATCCGTCATAAATACTCCAGGTAAAAAGAAAGAGAAAAAAAATTCTTCTATTTTTGTCTATTATGTTTGTAAGATACACCTCACAGTTTTATTCGCATGCCGCCAACGATATCACACTTGGCCAAAAAAAAACACAATAAACCATGTTTTTCTTATTCACCACGCTCTCTTACAGGTATTAAAATCGAACTTTTTTTTGCTTTACTTCAGTCAAACTTACTATTCATACGTAATGATGAAGAATCATTTTCTGTAGTTCCCTGTGCTTGAAATAGATCATTCATGCGAGTACACGGACTGGTAGTAGCAGTAACATTTACTTGTTGTTGTTGTGAAGGTGAAATATGTGAATGATGTTCTTGCTGTTGCGTAGTTACAGCATCAAATGCTGTTGTATTACCAAGTATGAGACCATGTAATGGATCAATTTTTGGTAATGCATTATTTACACTTGCTGATGGTGAGATTGTATGAGTGGTATTATTAATGTTAGCTGTTAGGCTATCATGAATAGTGAGTAAAGAACGTGCTGTATCACCATTGGGTAAATTTGTTATATTAGTCAATGAACTGTTTGGAGTAATCAGATCATCTATGTTGTATCTAATATATGAAATTTTCATTATATAGAGTTAAGATAGATATACAATAAGAGAGCTTACGGTGGAAGTGCCATAAGATCGCTAACAATCGGAAGTATGTGATTGGTAGTGGTAGGCGTAGGAATGGTAGCTGAAGGTAATGGTATATCACTACTAAATAAATGCGACATGTAGAATTCGAAGAAAAGCAAATCTGAAAAAACAAATTTTTCATCGGAATATTTAATTGTATTCAATTATCTATTTTTAACAATCAACAGCACGTTTCCAGTTTTTGTAAATCAACCATGCCTAACAATATTATTACCATTTTCAAATCGAATTTTCTAGAGATGAATGTCTATTAGATCAGCGTCTTTTCGCTATGTAACTTCCTAGAATAGTTAAAAATCTACCTATGGCAAGCCTTTATAAGTATTTATGGAATCAGTAACAAGCACACACTCCAGGCAATCGCTTCTTTTATTGGAATGAATTATATTGATTTATGATCCTAGAAATAAATCAGATGAAAACTCTCGATTAGTGAATAGAGCGTAATAGAGATGAATCAGCTCATTATATTTTCTATGGAGAAGTGGAAAACGATAGGTTTACTCCATTCTGACATATCACGAGAAAATTTTATATGTTGATTATTTCTTGTAAAAAGAATATGCTTCAAAAAGAGAACACAATAAAGAGAAATTGCCCTGAGTGATTCGAATGATTATTGTTTTTAACCTTAAAAAGCATCAAAATATTTATTCTTACGAAACAATCTAAAGGTAAAAAAGGACTGCTCAGTATTCCCATCATAAGGTAATATTATGATATACCATGTGAGAGAGAAGTACAGATAATAAGTACTATTTAGTTTATTGCTTTAATAGACCAGATGACGCTGCAAAAAATTGGTTTTTATTCCCCATAGTTCTGATGCAGACAATTAATCTTCCTTGGCATTGTTTGTTAAACAATGTTCTTATTATTCAGTCTTTTCTAAAAAAAAAAGATCGTCGTACTTATTATTATGGGAGAATAAAATCAGTGACAGAATAATATATGCAACATTAATACAAAGAAAAAAAAACTCCTATTACAGTAAATTAGAAACATTGACAGCATGAAAGAACAGAGAGAAAAAAGAATGTCGGAAATAGGAAACAAAGGCTATATAGATCTTTTTATTTGGCTTGCCACAGAAAAGAATATATAAACTTTATTCTTCTGAATAGAGAACGTAATAAATCCTTCTTATCGTCTAGAAACTATGACAATAATGTAGTGTGCTGCATACTCGATCGATATTATGGATTTTTATTTTCTATTCGTAAGTCTAATTCATCTTATACGTTTACTGAAAATTTTTATAAAACATATAACTTTTATTGAATATAATCGAAAATGATTTTATATGTGTGATAATAATCATTAACCTTTTCCTCTAGTTAATACATTCCAATATGCTTCAGATCTTAATGTCAATCAGATGCAGATGACTAATGAACACGTAAAAACATTTTCATACCTTTTTTTTGTTTTCTACTGATTATCATTTCTACGCAAAACACGTTGAAATCCTTATTGTAACGTTTAAATATGGATACAACTATTGTAAACAGCGAAGAACAACGCCAACTAATTCCTATGTCTTCATTACCACAAGAGAAAAACTCCAATGAAGACACAATCATTGTTACAATTGAAACAAATGATAGTATGGAAAATGAAGCATCCAAAAACATGAAACAAAAACTATTTATTCTACGCTTATGTTCAAATTTAAAGCAAACCTTAACATCACTTCAACGCCCACATTTGTCTGATAGTACTTTACGATTCATATTTCTATTATTGATAGCACTAATTGGTTTAACTAGTTTTACAATCGCGCTTATCATCGGTTCTACTATAATTCAATTTAAACACCAATGTCCACTTTACGCATCATTTACATTTCAAACATTCATAACTAGTGAAAGCAATTGGACAGTTAAAATAATACCGTTAACAGAAAAATTTAGTTCCCAATCTACATGTGATTTTTGTACATTTTACAATGTTTTTACATTTATTTATTGTATTATGACGGGATTCTTTTTTATATTATTTAATGGGGATCAAAGAATAGTGGCAACAAATGATCAATGTTTGATCATACCATGGTAAATTTGAAAAAAAAAACTCCTCCCGAAATCATTTTCTTTATTTCTATCTAGGTTTCCTATTTCCATTATACTCGGTATATTCTCATTAATAAATGCATCTATCTTAACAAATGGCTTTCTAAAATTTTGCTCCACCATTACATCACATGATGCTCGTGTAATGTCATGCACTCAACTAAATCATTTATTTTTCGAACAATATCCTCATGTTTCATCGTTTTTCTCCTATATGCTATGTGCCATAATTTCTTCCTGGATTCAATTAACATTTTTCATTGGTATTATTACTATTCTTACTATTCGTATTGGTTCATCATTTGATTGGAATCATGAAAAACGTAAAAAGTCGTCGATTAATATCGTTATGAAATCTATAGAGCAAACATGAAAATAAAAGAAAACAGAAGATTTGTGTTTTTGTTTTATAGATGAAAAAAGAAAACATTTATTTCGATTATGTTACGCATATAAAAAAAAAGATGTAGAAGGCAAAACAGAAAAGAAAACAACTGTTGTTTGAGAAACGATCATTAAACAAAGAAACACACAAGTACGTAACAATACCATCCGGCAAATTTGAAAGATAAGTGAAAAAAGAGAGAAAGGAAAAGAAAGATTAATTCTGATTTTTTTTGTTTTGTTGAATTTGAGCTGAATGACAAGAGAATTATTATATAAATTTAATTTTTTACTCGATTCACCGGTATAATAACGAAATTTAATTTCGAGAAACGTCTTTTTCAAATTTTTCAAATACTTTTCGAGCATTGCGAATATTTATTAGTGTCACTTCCGATGCTAAAAAAATGAAAAAAAAAATTTTAAATCGAATTTGATTGGCAACTCAGTCGACAATCAATTTATTGTCACATCTGAATTTATATTATGATTTGTATACATTCTCAATCTGACTTTTAATCGGTAATTACGAATGCTTAATGACCCCAAAAAATAAACACAAAATTGTACCCGAGTAATGATATATTCTGTCAACGAACCCATTTATTATATTAGTCAATACGACCAACAGAGATTTTTTCTTCAGGGAATCGAATTTGTAATCATCCATAGATAATACGGAAGTGAAGTAAACCCATGCTCGAATGAAAGACTATGGCTTTTCTATAATAGAAACTCATGTCACTCTTCCAGAGATCTGCTAGTTAATTGATATTCTCAGATAGCCAAACGGACGTAATATATATGCATATATGTAGAATTACACTTACAGATTGATGGATCACTGATAACAACCATAACATAAGTATTTGGTGTTAATAATTCAATAAAACAAGCAAATGTTGAGTTTCGTACTTCCATAGATTGAAATGCCGCTGTTAATTTACTAAACATCAAGAAAAAGATAACAAAAGATTGTTAACAAGAAAAAAATATCGCATTTTACCTGCATGATAATTTAAATTGTTTAATGATATCACTGATCTTTTCAAATCGACGTGAATCTCGATGTGGTTTACGTGTACAGTGTGAAATTACTAAAAATGTTGCTTTTTCAAAAAGAAGAATTTCATCAGCATCAATAATGTCTGCGAAATTGGTCAGAGTTTTTTCTAATCCTTTTACATTCGGAACTAGTTGATAAACAATTTGTGACCAAGCCTACAGAGAAATAAATTTGTATGTCATTTAGTGTTTTGTTTTAAATTGTTCTACTTTATAAAGTGTTTCATCCCAAATCGACGTACGAAAACACGTGCATTGTAATGGTCTTGATATTTCTATTAACATAGTTTGTCGTTCATTAAAAAGCTAAACAAAGGAAAATTTAATCTTTATTAAACAGAGCTCGATCATAACATACAGTGTCACGCGAATCTTCCGGTACTAAGTCCATTTTATGGATAAGACAAAAAATTTTAGCTTGATTTGAATGTTGTAAAATTGATTCAAGACACGACTGATAATAATGTAAGTCCTAAATGAAAAATAAAACAATGAAATAATAATTTTGTTTTTTATTCAATATCAAACTTTGTCCAATTCTTGACTTTGAACATCAAATACATAAATAAGTACTTCGACATTTTTAAATATATTATCTTTTTGCGCAGCAAAATAACATTCCATAAATGCTTCTTGACCACCACAATCCCATAAATTTAAAATGAGATTACCCAAAAAACGAACATACGATTGTTCAACATCCACTAGAAAAGACAATGAAAACTTTCAATTGTTCAAATATCTGTATGCAAGATTATATTTTTTACTTGTTGCTCCTAGACGTCGAGTATCTTTAGCACTATAGTTAGCAAAAATAATTGAGCGCATTGATGTTTTTCCTCCACCACTTTTGCCCATTAATAGTACCTAGTTAAAAGAACCATAGAGTACTTAGACAAGATTAGAAAAAAAATGTTACCTTTTTACGCATCATCTTTTCTCAGCTTTTTTTTTTATATCTAAATCCTAAAATAGATATAGAAATATATCTAGGAACTCTTTGTGCTTTTTTTAGAATAAAAAAATGGAATCTAAGATTCTAAATTGGTGAACTAGAACAGTAATAAAATATTGTCTGTTTACTTATTTATTTTCTTTGCTGTTGCTTTTTACATTGGCTACAGAGAAAATAGTAACATTGTCATTACAGATGGCGCGAGGTGTCAATTCTTGCTGGTGTGGATGTGAAAACATATTTCAACCACACGTGCACAGGGAATGTTTGGTGGCGGTAGCGTCAGTAAATCTATGATGTCAAGCTGATATCCAAAATAAAACTTAAATGGAGTACACCGAGACATGGGCGGCGCAAGTAAAGTTTCTAGGGGTAGCAATAAGTTTATTAAACCGATAATGTTTAATCAATTTTCTATGTACCAAAGAAATAGTTTTGCATCAAATAGCAAACAATAAAAGCAAACCTTTTTACAGAAATTGCTAGAAAAATCACTTACGGCTTCTACTAGAATATTTATGACTCCAGAATAATAAATTCTAAACATGTCAACTCTTTTTGCTGTTGTATAGATCTTTCATTAACGATTTGAATGCACACGTGATAATAGAAAATTCGCTGCACATACCTCGCGAAGTAAATTTATTTTGAAAGAAGACTGAAAAATCTTAAGAAAATCAGAGTGAAAAAACCTATAATATACGATTCGATACATTTTTATGTCCTCTTTTAAACTGTGAAGACCACAGCTCTCTATCTTGTTCCAATGAAAAGTTACTCAAAAAGTACTCACTTGGCCTTTTTTAATATAATTACTGCTACTGTCGCATTTTATAGAAAAAGAACAGTTCTTATGCAGGCTTTTTAATTTTGATATTAAGTGAAGATTGATCAAGTGCCGTAGAAAAAAAGAGCATTGTTTTCTCTATCACTATATGAAAAAAGAAAGTTGCTTCAAGCTTTCTATACGGAAATACAGTATTGACAACACTACTTTTGGGCTGTTCGTAGTACATCATAAAAAAATCGAATTGAATATAAAACAGTGGAAATTAATCAAGAGTTTCTTTGTATCAGGAAAGGAAGCGAAAAAATAGTCTTTGTTTCTTCAACCATGTAATGCAAACCGACATCAAACTTGACACAAATAAATGTCAGACATACATGATGAAAGTAGAGCCTCAGAAGAAAATAAAACAAGGCTCATCGTGTATAAGCGTTCTTCTAACAATTATCGAAATGTGTATTGTTAGGGGTAGCAATTGATACCCCTCGCATAGCTGGCGCGCCGCCTATGCACCGAAAAAGAGAGCTCGATAGAGATGTTTGTTGCAAATGAGTTCACATAGAAAGTTGGAAATTCCGTGAAAGAAATAAAGGAGCACACAAGAGAAAAATTGAAGTGGTTACTTGTTTTTAGACTGTGCTGTGTTGAATTGACGCATGCCAATGGCTTTCAGATCGAAAACATTTCGTTTCAGTACCGCATGCATTTGCCTTCGCCGACTTGCAGAAAACTAATCAAATTGTCTAGTTGAGTAATAAAAATCATGTCATCGACAAACGGGAAGGATCAATACAAAAGTACGTAGAATTATGTTTATACATACGTATGCAAGAGCTTCTGACAGTAGTTAATCGTTATTTTTAATTTTTCAGACGAGCTCAGGAAGCAAGACTCTGACAAATATCTAAATGTAATTATTTTTTGTTCGAAGTAGATTTACACCATATAATGAGCTATGAAATTTTATTAGGAGACAGGAAAACGTGTTACTTGTCGATTGCAATCATCAAAGACCACAACATCACAAACAAAGAAAATCACAGTAAACCTAACAGTATCTATTAATCGATATGCTAAGCGAGAATTCAACTTTGTGCATATAGGATAGATCTGCAACATCAGTAATAGACGACATAGTAAGTTTTAGAACTGCATCGAAGTGTTTTGAGTTCTATTCAATTGATCGTATAGAGTAGTATTTTGGGCGATTCGAGTTCGGAATCGGAATCGGAATCGGTAAGGTCAACTGTAGAACAGTCATATTTATAGGCTATCATCTGTTTATTTTGTAGAGACCAACAACTGCATCGAAAAAGAAAACCTTGTAATTGAATAATTACTTTCACAAAAAATAAATAAAAATTATTTGAAAAAATATTCTGTTCTAGAACTCACCGAGAGATATTTCATCAACAACTTAAAATTGAAAGTAGTTTTCTTGGTTCGAAATTTTTCGAACAACCAAAATTTTGTCATAGTTTAAAATCTGAAATGGCAAGAAAATATTCAGTTGAGACGAACATCTCTAAGGTGAAATACATATTAAATCTCCAATACCCTAGTTATATCATTGAGTTTCAAAGTGAAAATGAAAGAAACAACGTTCGGGCATTAGAATCATTACAAGCCCTCCTTGAAGCAGTAGATACAAAACTGGTCGAATATAATTCAGGTAATTAAATTATTTTCAAAAGACAACATATTGATAAAAAATTTATTCCGATATAGGGCTTTCAGAAAACTATCCAGATTGCACTAAACTTATTCGAATGCATGGTGAACAGTATACAGATCTTCACATTCTATTTAGCCATGAAACAATAGGTATTCTGATTATTTATTTCAACAAATTCAAATCAACCAAACTACATAACTTGTGTATTAGTAATGTTAATCTTGACGCATTTATTAACGAATTCGTATATCTTTATATTTCTCTACCGGCCGTTTCTGATTTAACAACAACTAATAAAAGTAATTTAGCACAAAAAATTCTTAAACTAGAACATCAAGTACAATCTCAAAATATTGTAATAATCCTTAAGCAACGCTGCATTCATTTGTTTGGTTTGATTAACGTAGTCAACGAGGTAGAAAAAGAAATAAAAAGCATAATAAATGAATGCAAATCAACTACGTTTAACCTTAGTTTAGAACCAGAACAGGTAAACAAATATATTTCTATACGTCTTTTTTTCATAAGAAATATTAAGCAAACTATTTTGTTTTATATCCAGATAGAATTTTTACTAGATATTTATCTTGATGAATTGAAAGTACTTGAAACTAATTTTTATGGTACAAACATTATTGAATCTTTGAGAAAAGGAGAATTAATAGCTCCAAGCTATCTTCATGATAGAATCGAAGAAGAAATAATGTCATTAGCTAGATTATGTACACCAATTAGTTATGAAATTCAGGAGAAAGCTTTTGGTTTAATAGCACTTAGTGAAGATGCTAATCTGAAAAATATTGCTCGCCAATACAAATCTCAAATCAAAATACATGGAGAAACTACCAGCGATACTTATAAAATACCCAAAGCCTTAGCACAAGATGTTTCGAATAAATTGACAGCAGCAGCCATTACAATATACCAGAGTGATCTAGCTGAAGCGAAAGTACAGGCTGTGTAAATTTTAAGCAAACGATAATAAATTGTAGTTGATAATTTTCTGCAGGTCGATCTTGTAGTTGTCTCGTCGACATCGGAACATCTATGCAAAGGTATACTTAAGAAAGGTGGAGAATCTGTAAAGAAGGAGTACCATACAGCTGTGAAGAGCTCATCGTCGGGACCTTTTGAAATCGATTCAGGAAATTTGCAGTGTCGAAAACTATTATTTTTAACATGGAAAATCAATCAAACTAGTGATGAAGCATTCTATCAATCGATTCGAAATTTTGTTAGTACAGCTGTTCAACATGCTATCAAGTTTCATCATACATCAATTGCATTTCCATCTATTGGTTGTGGTGGCTATAATTTCGATAAGACTGTTGTTGCTCATGAGATGTTAACTGAAGCTCAAAGACAATTAATATCGGCTAATGTTTTGTTAAAAATAAATTTTATTATCTTACCGAATGAAACTGATGTTTTTGGAATATTTCAAAGCAAACTAGAAAGTCTTCAAGCAGGACGAGGTACAACAAGACAAGATGATCATATTACATATAATTTTACAAGTAAATAATTATTTACAATACTCTTCATTCCAATGCATCTTTATTCTAGCACTGACAATCACTATTATATCAAACACTATAGAGAAACAAGAAGAATGTAGAATGGCTTTAGAAGATTATGTACAGAAATCAATTTCAGTAAGTGAACAGCATGATCTAAGTGGGCTAAAAAAATGGACACAACCAACTATTGATTCATTTTATATGTATTGTTTTCAACGGCTTGTTATACCAGAAATGGATATTCATACTGGTTATTGCAAATTATTTGGTTCAAAGGAATCGGTCAGAGAAGCAGAAAATGAATACTATCGACAACAAACTACACAAAGTGAACATGCTCGTTTAATGGTCGTTGCTCGAGATGTAATTTGGGCTTTTAAAAAAGATGAAAATGATTGGGAGAAATTTCCCTCTGAATTAAATGCTAGTATTGAAGATGCATTTATATCTAAATTGAAAACGGTAAGTATTGATGCAATATACACTTCATAAGATTGGGTGTGAAGGTGTCGGTGTGGGAGATAGAGCTATCATTCACCGCACCCACACTCCGACGATTTAATATTGTTCGAGAGTTTTATTTTTCATTGTTTTGAGATGAAGTGCATAAATACGTATCTGTGCATCCAATTAGGATATAAAGGATCAGGTGCACTGATTTCTAACACTTATAATTCATTTTCTTCTGAGAAGTCTGAATGCAATATACACTTGCTTTTGCAGTTCAAGTACACTAACGATAAGTCTGTAGAATATGAAATTGATTTCAAAAACTATCACGAAACGTGTGTAACAACTCAACAGCAACGTGATATTATTCGACATGGTGATTTTCGTGTACCACCACATTGGGATTTGCAAATAAAGACTGTTCAGCGATTTTTCTTAGATGAGAATTCACATGAATACAAAGATATTCGTGAACTATTCGATAAGACGATGGCAAAGAAATATACAACAATAATTCGTATAGAACGTATTCAAAATAAGCAATGGTATACACAATACAATTCATATAAAAATTTCTCTGGAAGGGAAGACACAGAAAAAAAGTTATTTCATGGCTGTCTACAAGAATCAGTTAGTCTCATTGTTAACTCGTTTTTCAATCGATCATTTGCTGGAGTCAATGGTTCGCTCGATTTGCTTTAGTTTTTTTTTTGTAAAATTCTAAGTTTTTTTCTTCAGGTGTTGTATATGGACAAGGAGCTTATTTCTCAGCAAATGCAGTCTATAGTCACGGCTACGCTACGCCAAACCAATCGAATGGTGAGCGATCTATGTTTGTAGTCAATGTAATAGTGGGTAAAACTACTCGAGGAAATCGTTCAATGAAAACGCCACCTGCAGGTTTCGATTCGACTACGGATGACGATCATATCTTTGTTACATATCGTGATGATCAAGCTTATGCAGAATATCTTATTGTGTATCATTAAATTTTGTTTTTTAAATGACCAATGTGTGTCTTTTAATCCGATGTGTGATATTTTTTATATCAAATAATCAAGAGTATGCAATCTTTTTTGCAGGCATTTTGTGTTACAAATAGCTGTTTCTCAAGCAGACAATAAAAA